AATAAGATTTTCCAAAAAATATTTAATGTACAGATTCGGCTTAGTTACAATTTTATTATATTACTAGCATTGCCCGCGGCTCCGCCCGCGTTCATATCACCAAAAACCAAATTGTTAGGTTTTACATATTAGTATACTCTTTCAATACACTTTTTGTATTTTTTCTCAGAAATGAGACATTTTCCCGCGGTAAAAAGTATCCTATATGTTGGCCCGGATAACCAGCTATCACCATACCAAATTTCAGCAAAATCCCTCCAGTGGTTATTCCGTGATGCGGTCATAGACAGACAGACAGATAACAAATCTAAAAACTATAGATTCGGCCTCTGTATCGATAATAAAGTCAATTTCAATAAGATTTTCCAAAAAATATTTAATGTACATATTCGGCTTTGTTACAATTTTATTATATGTATAGATGTCAGGGTATGAAATTATCAAGATAAATATATCTTTTGATAATTATCGCGATAATTATCAAGATAATTATCCGATAATTATCAAACGGATATAAACTTAGCAATCCTTGTGTCTTTGACTACTTGCCTAACATAATTTACTTACATTAGAATAAATTATACATTTTTAACAATCAAGGTAATAGTATTATTATTTTTTCATTATTTTGACATATACAAACATGGAAATAAAATCAGAATAAATGTAACTAACTATATAGACACAATTTAATTAAAGGTCTACTATATCGTCTCATACCATGATTGTACTAGGGCCGTGTCAGGCAAAAAAATATTCTTTGTATTGAAAAGTATGAGACTATGCCCACTGAATCATTGTTAATTTTCTGTCAGACAAGTTTTTAATAGCCATCTTATAGGTATAGGAAATAATCGAAAAACAAAAATATTCACTCCCTCTTCCTGACGCGGCTGTCTCACGCAAAAACACAGGTGGTCTACTCCGACTGAGAAAACGGGAACTATACGGATATGACGCGCGGATGATACGCGGTTGATACGCGAATGATACGTTCTAGTGGGCATAGTAGTCCGTGTCGCTTGTTTCCGTGTCTGATACGTTCATAGTACGGTCATGGTATGAGACGGTGTAGTGAGCAGACTCCTTAATGCGTGGAATATCATCCTCATCCTCCTCAACTGCATTAACTTAGTTTGCTGATTGGGTTTGTTGAGCTGATTCAGAGAGTTCAGTTAGCTGATCGACAATTTGAAGAGTTACAAGTTAAATATTTTCAATTATATTTATAATTAATTATCAATGATAATTATCGTTTCGAACCCTGATAGATGTATAGATTTTATTTAGTTGTGTGCCTACATTATTAATTAAATAACAACTATTTCTCGTAGATATATGTTTTAAAGACCTATCTATGGAATATATAACAATTACACACTTAGCCCAGCAGGCCCCGCGTTACTGACCAACTGTTTTTGCTGCGTAGAGTAGGTCTTTACAAACAAGAGCAACAAATACTGACGGTCTCTCAAAGCCTGAACAATTATTGCTATCACTAAGATACCTTTATGTACGAAGCGATGGGCAAACCTGCAAATAGTTAAAATTTAAATATATAAGTATATTTTTTTACTTCTACCCACGTTTTTCTATTATTATTGTTATTATACAAAAAAAAACAATTTAGTTTATCACTTTTGAACGTTTCGATCAAGTTCCTAAATGACGAGGTTGTTTTCAAAAATGTATATCATTATACTTAAAGGATACATTTTATGAAACAGTAAGCGTGTCCAATATCTACTTATTTTAGCAAATCTAAATAATATGTTCTGTATCTATTAATACATATATATACGTAGCATTTTTTTTTATCACGCATAAAGACGCATATAGAGTATGGTGTGAGGCATGGGTGAGCTTACATTTTAAATACTGGGGTTTCCCAAACTTGTCTTTTTGTCTTACTTAATTTTTAAACGTGAGAGTGTCATTGTAGATTCTTCACGCTTAAACGTCCTTTAATAACTTTAGGGTTCAGTGAAATTTCCGAAAAGTATCTATAGTGCTTTATTGACATTGTTTTCACACGAGCGAAGTCGTAAAGAAGAACTAGGTATACTCGTATTCTTTAGGTAAACCGTAAAATCATTAGTTTATTAGTACTTTTCGTATTTGTCGTAAAGGTAACTTTTTATATTATACTAGCATTGCCCGCGGCTCCGCCCGCGTTCAGATGCCCAAAAACCAAATTCTTAGGTTTTACCTATTAGTATATACTCTTACATTGCAGTTTTTGTATTTTTTCTCAAAAATGAGATATTTTTCCGCGGTAAAAAGTATCCTATATGTTGACCCGGATAACCAGCTATAACTAAAACTAACCACCATACTAAATTTCATCAAAATCCCTCCAGTGGTTTTTCCGTGATGCGGTAACAGACAGACAGGCAGACAGACAGACAGATAGACAGACTGACAGACAGACAGACAGACAGACAGACAAAAATCCTAAAAACTATAAATTCGGCCTCTGTATTGATAATAATGTCTGTTTCGATAATGTTTTCCAAAAAATATTTAATGTACAGATTCGACTCAGTTAGAATTTTATTATATGTATAGATTAAAAGTATATATTTATAATGTAAACATTTAATTACATTTACAAACAAGTTACTGTCTTACCCACCAAACATAACCTCTGTAATTGCGCTCAACCTTAAAAATATCCAGTTTTCACTAGTCTCTTGAAGAGAAACATAATAAAATTTTAATTCACAAAAAATTAAAAAGTCAATGTCAAAAATCTACTTTACATATCTTGTAAGTTCATTATAAGACTCGCTCGCGCATGCGAGTACGCCCGCGAGATGTTAGTCCATATCCACGTGATCCTCTCTTCGTATGCCAACGTTCTCAATCTTGTTTATAATTCAGACTTACATCTAAAATAAACGAAAAACCGATAAAATTCGTCAAGCGGTTCTCAAGTGATGCACCATTAAACAAACATGCAATAAGTATTTATAAAAACACAAAAATATAAAATTCTAAAAACTGTTGATTTAGCTTCTATTCCTAACATTTTGTAAATATTTAATAGAAAAACATGACTACGTTACAATTTTATTAGTATTATATCTATAGATATGCAACATATTGTACCTATTATAAAATTTTATGAATATTCTGTATGAACCGTACTTTTATTATTTTCTATTGTGCCTCAGACAGTCAATTTTAATTACTTAAGGTAATATTTGTTAAAATGACATCTAATTGTCCTATGAAGTTTTTCGGACTACGATACCCATTACCTACTCCTAGTATTTAATTTTTTGAAGTTGCTAAGTGACTAATTCAATTCACATAATTATAGTTACGTTTTAAAATTTTAATAGTTGCGATAAATTAAATTCGAAGCTTATAAATGAAAGAACTGTTGGTACATTTACATTTTACATTTTTGTTAAAAAAAAAGCACGTACACATAACTCGTCCTTTAATCGGCCAAATGAAAATTTACATCCCATATCTTAACATTACAACAATAATATTCATCAATGATGCGATACAATCGCGTACGGCGTCGATAACGGCGCTGGCGCGTTGTTTTCGCGCACCTCGCGGGCCCCGGGTTAACGGCCAGACGCGCCGGCCGGACGTTAAACCTGCCCGGGACCGGCTTGCGGCCTCGCTGCCTCGATCACTCGATCTGCAATTGCACGTTTCGGCCTCTAGTTTAACTTGTCTCACGCGTTACACTTTGAATGTCGATTGTCCTTGAATGCATTTCTAATGACGTATGTATGCATTTAATTTTATAGGCATCGTGTTTGTGTTTCTATAGGGACTAAGTACTGTTATAATAATTATAATATAAACTGTTATTTCAAAAAAAATGGTAAATAATATAACTTTCAATACTAAGGATCAAAAACCACCAGCATATTTTAATATTGTCACAGCTTTTGGAGAAAAGTTTACTTCCTTTGTCGAGTCAGAATAACTTGGCTGTGTTTAAAATTCTAGATATTGACAGCGGCGATCACACAGGCAGACAAGGTCAAACACAAGACTGAATTCACAGTATCCGATGATAACATTCATAAGTCTAGGTAGCTGGATTCTATTCGTTGAATTCGTGGAAGGTCCAAACAAATCTTAAAACTCAATTATTTTAGGCATTGTTAGTAGGTACAATAAGAAGGGAAACGACTTTGTCTCTTTTATATTATTCAAACTTTTTTTAAAAGGTTTGTTGGAATTTGATGTTTGAAATTCTTGTCTGGTTGTGTTGTAGAATATAATAACTAATAAAATAATAGCTGTTAAATCTATCAAAAATCTAACAAAACATGAGAATAATAAAGATAGCGTTTTTTCAAATTTGTTATAACAAAACGTCTATATAATAAATTCTAAAAATTCAGCATTATTCGATTTCACATATAAAATATGTTATTTTATATTTTAATTAAAAATCTACATATAATATCAATAAAATATTATAATTGTAGTGTTAATGTTCGAGACCTTGAATGTAATATTTTTAATTCAAGGAAATCTGGTTATAGACGTTGAGCAGAATTAGCTTTTTAATAGACTTACATGCAAATTGATGTTGGCATAGAAACAAATGTCCTTAGTCATCCTATCTAACAATAAGCAAAACACTTGTGACATTGGCAGGAACAACTACCTACTACATATGTGTTAACTAACCACGTAATTAAATAATAAGACTAGTAGAAGTGCAGTTATGTTGACAATGATAGGCAAAATCGACATTGGAATGAAACATTAATTAAATATCTTCCCGATGTAATGTCTCGTCAAATTTATGACAAAGTCAAATTAATACAAAAGTATTTGTTTAATAATACATTTGTATTCAATTTATACAGTATAGAAATCTTGTAGGAGGTATGCTTGTCAGTATACAAAATATATTATAGCTTGTATAGGGAAATATGTCGAATTATTCACGAGGCGAAGACTAAGTAATAAGAGATTCCCAAGACGGCGGTCGATGTGTAAGTAGATGAGATCTATTCAGGAATAAATATCCTAGTGGGATTGTTTACGGTGCGGCTCTGTTTGTCGAGATATTGTTGTATTCTAGACTCTAGTCGCCATTCGCTAGTTCGCCCCGAGCTCAGACGGGACGGGTGCACAGGTGGGATGGAGGCACGGAACGTCTGCGTCAGTGCTTTTTCACTCTTTGTTTGAGAAGAGGATTTGCATACAATCGGAGAAATTGCGTGGTTGGTGGCAGCCGGGAAAAAAGGAATTCGTGTCGTTTTATGCATATGACTGATCGAAATACCGGCCCCCCGCTACTACTCTAATGCTAATGCTTTATAGTATTTTTACACGTACAGTTGTTTGTTTGTAAGCTTTTACTTATCCAATGTTATCTTCGTATCACTAATATTTGACGTTATAAGTATTATGTACTGTGCAGTAAGGCACCTCAAAGCTTATACAATCATTGCATACCAAGTAATCCATAACACCGAGTACAACAACATACTTCACGGTGAATCCCTCATCGATAAAAACTGCAATCCGTCATAACCGACTACATCAACGCGTTTGTCACCTGAATCACGTGGTCCACTCGGTTTATTGCTTACATGCGCGCTATTAGAGTTCGCGTTAGTTGTGTGGGGCCGCCCGCGCCGCTCACTGGCATAACCTTTTTATCGCCGCCGATATTGACAAGTTACGCGTTCACAACAACGCCACGTGTATAAACATTGTTGCACAACAATACACGGTCGCGAGTGACGCGCAAGGACGCGGCGGCATCGACGACCATTCCGGTAGATAGTTGAATCCACAAACTACGCGCCCACGCGCTACATTCCGTGAAAAACACACAAAAATGCACTCTCGAGATGGCACTATGGAGAACCACTATTTCCGACATTGGCAGAGTGATTGAAGTATTTCTTTGTTTTATAAATGATACGTGATCTAAGCTCTTTGTTTTGACACCAAATGATTCGTTACAGTGATAAGTTCTTTGTTCTGTGTTCAGATAAGTTTCATGTACCCGCTGTGTTTGTGGAATGTCTACAATAAAAGAGGAAAAAAGCGATGATTGTAAGTTATATTTTACGCTTACCCAGAAAATAGATTAGTTGCAATGGTTTTAATTAATTTGTCTCAAAATAATCGGTTCGAAATAATAATAATCTATACAAACTTTTTGAATTTTTGAAATCATTTTTATAAAATAGTGGGTAGGCACTGTCTGTAACAAGTATATATAACGCCTTTGAGACGTCTGTAACCTTAGTCTCTCCCGTGATCATAATTGCTGTAAAGCATTCGAAACGTCGCGTCGGGAATAAAAAAAAAACAAAATAAATCCGCGAAATAATTCGAAAAGATAAGTACTTTTATTTAAAATATCAAATATTGGAGTAAATCTACGAATCTAAGAAAATACTATACATATTTATATAATAAAATTCTGAGTCGAATCTGTACATTAAATATTTTTTGGAAACCTTATTCATGTAGTCATTGTTATCGATCGACACAGAGGCCGAATCTATTGTTTTTAGATTTTTTCTGTCTATCTGTCTGTCTGTCTGGGAACGCATCACGAGAAAAACACTGGACAGATTTTGATGAAATTTAATGTGATGATAATTGGTTGTCCGGGTCAACATTTAGGATACTTTTTACTGCGGGAAAATATCTTATCTCTGAGAAATCTAAACTAACCTTTAAAACGTGCCAAGGGCCGAACCCGAGCGGAGCGAGGGTTATTCGCTAGTTGTTTAATAATACTATTTATTAAAAACGCAAATGTAAGGTCTATATTCCTAATATTATATACTAGTATCAGAAGCGTTATCAAACTAAGTATTACGACAAAACTATTATGTAGTAAATTCCTAACTTAGTTACGTCATCTTTATGTTAAAATGAGATTTTTGGCCTTTTATATATATAATGCGTTGTCATTTAATGTAAAATATAATTATGTAAATGATATAAAACTTAGAAAGATAGCAATTGCAACTTACAAATGCACTTTGTAAACGGCAAATTTATTTCGCACCTCCCACACTAATCTACCGGCCGATAGTCGCATTCCGCGCATACCTACCACAGGTTGTCGGCCGGCACTGCGGCTGGTTCGAACGGCTTGCAGCGGTGACGTAGCTCGTCTCAGTGAGTCGTCGTGCCATCGACACACGACGCCCACACCCGCCCTCTACGCCAAACAAAATAGAACTCATCGGGGAAACCCAACACTGTATCGGAGTTCCTCTTAGCTTGGACTTGATATTGCGCAGTTAAACTCACTATCGTGATTGTAATTCTATTGCCTACCTTGTATGCCCATTCGACACGTGCTCCTAAAATTGGTGCGGTTAGCTCTTCGTGTAAAGTTCATAATGTTGATATGCAGCAATAAAATACAATAAATATGTTAAGAAATTGAAAAAAATGTGACTGTAAATAAATGCTTGAATGTTAACTTTCATGGTAAAGAAACTATAGTAAAATATATTTGTTTACGATATTTCTTTTTGATTGAATAAATACAAACATGTGGAGTCAAAACATTTTATTATATAGCGTGAAGCTAATCTGTTCGTTTCCTTTTTCTGATTCGCATATTTTATAAATACTTCCATATCCATACTTTCCATACTTTTTTATATTATAAATGTGAAAGTGTGTTTGTTTGTTTGTCCTTCTTTCACGTCGTAACAGTGACGAGTTGGTATGATTTTTTATATTGTACCTATTTTATAGTGTAAAAACTTTGTTTTTTTTTGTTATAATGTATAAAAAGGTACTAGATATATTAATTAGTACGCTCAGGTTAAAAATAAACACGAACATTAACAATGAATTCGTAATATTCAGATAATAAACATTACATTACATGACAAGCTGAAGAAGCGTACACTATGTACCCACAGACGTCACACATATGCTCGCGCAGCGTAATGCGTCTCTATAAACTACGCAGTTCTCCAGATCACATGCGATAGCATGCGGAGAGCTCCATGTGGCGCGTGTATGCGATAATAGAAAGGCTTACTAGTTGCACGGACACTATCCTCTTGTTAAATTCTTTTATTACATATTTTACGAATTTCTCAATACAGTTGTATTCAACCCTTTTTAACGTCCCCCTGCTGGGCACTGGCCTCTCTTTAATATCAAGTGAATCAGGCCATAGTCCAGCAATCTGGTCACGTGGTGGACTTCACATGTCTTTCGAAAACTTGCTAGGTTCTCTCAGACATGTAGGTTTCCTCACGATGTTGTTGTCCTTCACTGTAAGGCAAGTGGTAATCTTATTGGAAATGCATCCTGCATACAAATGTCAGAGGTGCGAGACCTGGGATTTGAACCTGCTTCACGCGGTTCCTAATCGAGCACGGAACAACTGTGCTAATACTGACAATTTAGTCGTCTATAATGATCCAAAAAAAGAAACATTTACTGAATCTTTAGTAATTAAAGTCTCGAATGTTTAATAATCAATTATTCTTTAAACTATAAAACTTCCTTCTACATGATAATAAAATCGAAATCATACCCACAAATTACCACTCTTAATTTAATTAAATAAGTACGTACAGTAATGGGAGCTTACGAGACGTTGAACAAACTTTTCGCTGTGCAAAAGTCGCCTTGAAATAAACGAGTGAGTCGAACGGTTGTGTTTTATTATGAAATGTCACGTCGTGCCAGACGGTACATAAATAAATCTGAATTAACTCGTCTGCGACCTCTGCTTTCCTTAACTAAGTTCAATCTTACACCTTGTTCCATATTATCTGTATAAATCAATTAGAATAACCTCATCGCCAACTTCAAACCATAATACTAATATCAAATAATGTAATAAATAGTCCCTATTAGTTACAGCCTATAGCTGACCTATAGTTTGTAAGCCAATCAGTTTCACTAACATAAATTTATTTATTGCGTGACAAAGTTAACGCTCAAAATTATACGGTCGAATTATATTATGTTCTCATGCAATAGAAATAACGTAATTGAATTTAATATTTCGGTGTGTGATCATAGAACGTTAAAATTTCTAAAACCGTGAAAAAAGTTCAACATATAATTAAATTTAATTATGAAAATACATAAAAAAAATTAAACCCATAAATTTACCTTGTAAACTAATTAATAAATTAGGAAGGCAGGTACAAAAAACTGTTAGTGGGTACTGCTTAATAGACTTCGTTTACATCCCAGTACAGAGCAATGAAATAATATTATTTTTTTCAGCAGCCCAGTAAATATTCATAAAGGATGGATCCTTTTTAAAATGTAGTGTGATATAGTATCAATATGTATTTCTCGACTTCGTGTATATTATGAAACTTAACTCTCTCAACATTTTGCTACTTGTCAAAACAGTCCCAATGGGAAGCCGCCGAGAGATACTTAGCGACTTGTTCCACGCTTGTCGGTGAACAAGCAACATGCGATGAAGTTTGTAAAGATTGATATGTACTTAGAAACTGACAAGTCCGAAACAATGTAAGCACTTAATAAGAAGTAATAGCTATCAGATTGGTAAGTTCTTCTTTCCCGACTCTTTGTTACGGCTCCTGATTTCTAAGTTTTACTTAAATCCTTTTTTTTTTCTTTTACACGATAAATACACTCAGTTTAGTTTCCTGTGCATAGTTTTAAAGTCGAAAGGACGTATTGGTTTCTTATGATAGGTACACACTTTTGGATCTGATTCGTGTTGACACTTTCATTTCAACTTATAAAAAACATACTTTCACATTTATAATATTAAGTATAGATACATACTTATGTATAGTATAAATGCAGCATGACATTCTCATGACTACAAATAAATTCCTGAGTAAATTAATAAACTATTTACGTTTAAAAGTATTGAGATCGATATACATAGTGACACATCAACTATAGCTGTTAGTTTCGGTTTCCACGTAAAAAGCATCCTCATCCACTTATATTTAAATATTTATTATTTTATTATAATATATTTCATTTCAGCTCACTTCAGCTTTAAGAGATGATGTTATAAAGTATTTTTAAGTGTTTTACATGAAGTAGTTAACATGTTTTATCCGTTAATATTCGTTACCATGTAACCACTAACTAGTAAATGGTATTCAGTATGTAACTACTGACTGCTCAAAGATCGTGACTAGCGGTCGGCAATTAAAGATATTCTCATATTGAAAATGTTTATTTGTTTTGTTACAGTGGGCGTGGTGGGCGGCGGCATGCCGGAGGCCGCTGGCGGCGAGAGGCGACACGGTCCTCTGTACGGACGACTGGTTGCCGAGGAACAGCTCGCCTCCATGAGTGCGCCTTCGGACATTCAGGTGAGCGCCCCAGTGCGCAACCCAAGAGCTTTCTGGCGCTACCGTACCCCCGCTCAGGTAAATGATGCACGAGGCAGTTTGGGCTAACCCGATATCATAGGGAAAATAAACACAATATTTCGCGGGCGGCTTCGTTTTTGTTTACCTATCTTGTGACACTAGAAAAGTTGTCGGTGAAGTTGTTTGAAGAAGTTGAAACGATATGTTAAATAATACGATGTTACTATTTTTTTTAGTTTGTTACGAACAAAATAAACAAATATTTTAATCATCTAACGTCTCAGACCGTTAAATGCGTAACAACGGTATCGTCACATTGTTTTATTAAAAGCATCATTAACAACTCTGTCAGGGTAGACATTACGCGCAAGTAAATAAATTATCCCTCAAACAAAGTGCCACTAATTATCTACAAGTTCTCTTTTACCGGAATACTGAATGTATTCGAGTGTTAAGTACGGACTAAATGTACAGCTATAGGTACTTCTTGTCTAGACATAGGTAATTATTTAATGGGCTCGACTACAGTTTTACCAGCGAAAGAATTTTATTCGTTTTGTTCTAATTAATTTTACGAAAACGCTGTGCCTTAATAGATAGTTATAATGTTTGAATTTGTAGTTTCAGTTAAACAGTTAATAAGCCTCAAATATAATAAGTAAGTTATACAATGCTAAGATTTCAAACTGTCTCGTGTAGATCGCTTACGTACCACTGTTAGATTCATTACATCAATTTTTAAACACCAAAAAAGAATCTATCTAATTTCTTCCGCTTACTTTTGTTTATACTCGTAGTAGCAAAAAGTGTCACTTTATTCTATAACAGTTTTTCTATATTTATATTTAGATATATATAATTTCATTTTATTAGAATTTTACCATCACCACGATGTTTTACTTCGCACTGCTAAATAATAAATATTTTCATGTTTTGTCTTGTTGTAGTCGCACTTAGTAATTATTTTGTAGTTAAGGTATAGGAAAGCACCTAATCATTTATTATTATTAATTTATTTTTATATAATAATTTATTTTTTGATTATATATTTTAATCACCTTCGCATGTTAAGTCATTATAATTTCATATTTTTCATAATTGTAAAATTAGATTAAACTGCCTCTGGCCTCCATTGCCCTGCTTTAATTGTTATTTCTGCTAATTGCTTGTCACTTCTAGTTTACACCGTCAAACAACTGAATAATGTCTCTATTGTTTAGGCTATGCAAGCTCGAATACCACATCACTTTCGGGACCCTTCAACAGCGCCGTTAAGGAAACTTAGCGTCGACCTTATCAAAACATACAAACACATAAATGAGGTAAGTCTAATCATTTTCTCATACGCATTAATTCCGCGGAAATACAACTTTTGAAATTGATAATGATTAGATTTTAGGTATCCCAAGGCAAGTACGTTAAAATAATTTAAACTTAATATGGGAATGCCACGTTTTATGCACATGCGGATGAAATTGTAGGAAAAAGCTTGTTTTATATACTTATATTCAGATGCGGAAATAGTGAATAAAACAATTAATAAACAGCATATTGAATTTATAAATACAACTTTAATATATTATTTATTTTTTTTACTTACGTGATAGTATGGAATACGAGTAGCTATTATAGCATTTGACTAATTAATGCTTCATAATAACTTGTATCCATTGTTTCATAGTAAGTCTACGGTTTACTAAGGCATTGTTTAATTATCGGAATCGTGATTAGATCTGTTTTGATTATACTAGTGTACACTGAACACGCGTAAGGAAACACTATGGTTGAAGAATTTAAAGTATAAAGTACAATAACATGTTCTTTATCAATAGCTTTGATAGTAATTGTTATTTGAGATTTCCTTGTTTCGCTCAGAATTTATGAACATTTTAAAGTTCATTGTCTCTAAAAAAAAATTTAGACCTGATCTTTAAAGAGGACTCTTAAAATATGAAAAACTAACATATTATCATACAAGACACGAAATTAGGCGACTACCACTACCAGCGATCAACGTGTGATTTTTTTTCAATAATTGTTTAAATAATATTTCGATATCTTACGCACAATTTATCGAGATCAAGTTTATATTATTTTAAGCGGTATATTCAGATATTCTAAATATTTTTGGTAGATATAGTAAAAGCTTATACTAGTGAAAGTAGCGAACATGTCAACTAAAAGAATGTAAGTTTTTGTTAACATATGTTCTTGCTATTGCTCATAAAACATACACATTTTTATTTACTTCAAGATTAGCACATAGAGCTATTAGTGAAATCTGAAAACGTCACAGTGCGATCACTTTCAGCGGTACCATAAGCTAATATAATTGCGCAAATGATGTATATAGCTGCCGGTTGTTTACGATCCAGCACGTGTTACTTCTGACCTTTGGAACACGTGGGTGTAAGTTTTCACTGCAGCGTAGGACGCCCGCTGGATTTCCACGAAAATTGCTCGTCGTCCTCGATAGATATAAAATAAGTGAGTGTGAGTGTGTACTCTTAGTGATTTACTCCTATTGCTATATGCTGTTGTGTTGGGAAATTAACACACAGCTCCATCGAGTTCCCTGGTGAGCTATGAGATTTGTGTTATGGATGCCAGATGGTTGATACACTACATATATATAACTTTAAATGCATACATATTATAAATATAAACATTAAACACCCATGAATGGAGTACAAACACTGGTGCTCATCACACAAATGAATGCCCCGAGCGGGATCGAACCCGTGACCGCTAGCACATCAATTAAGTAGAGTCACTACAAACTGAGCCAAACGTGTCGTTAAACCTGTATGTCAAATTGCACGTTCGATTTTCGCTTTTCTATAGCACGCACAATGTATTTGTTGGACGATGTTTAGGAAGAATAACGTACCTACCTATATGTTGATTGTTTTCCTCTATTTTTCTATTGAATTTCATTTGAACATGAGTACTTATATATTTTTTTAATTGTCACTTTTTATAAGATTTATATTTCACATTTTGTTTATCATAAACGCCAAATAACTCTGTTTTATTTCTTATAATTGTAAATAAATAATAATAACTTTATTAAAATTAATAAATCAATGTATTAAAATTAAATTCTTACAAAAAATGCTTATTGAGTAGTGAGTAAAGAACTAGTTTCTTATACGTTATATTCTACCGAAAACAGTATGAATTATAATACCAATACAATTTAATACAATACAATGCAACCCGTCTAAATTATTCCAGTCTCGTGTAGACAAAAATGAAAATTAGAGCGGGGCAACTTCAAACATTTACTATTTCTGTACAACAGTCGGACAATTAATCTTAGCGCTTGAGACACGTGGAGTCTCCCCTTCAAAACCGCTCTATTTATTTTTAAGCATAGTATTAATAGGCAATATTCTATTTACGTTTAAACATGGTCGTTGCCCTATTTGGTTGTTTACATGACGCTACGCCAGTTCGAAACCTTGTGACGAATGTTCCCGAGTTACGCGAGCAACTGATATGTATGATTTATTCTTCATTTATTTTACGTACATTTTTAGAAACTGGAGCGTTGCTATTTTTAGAATCGATGTCTATGATGTTTTTGTACTATCAATCAATATGTGTCAAAATGTGCCATATATTTTCGTGTTTAACTGGATTTTTAGCTAAAAATTAGTTTTACTTGATTTAACAATTGTGTTATTTAGAACATAATATTATTATTAGATAATAATGATGTTTATATTTCCAAAGTAGATTAATTAAATTCCAACGTATTTAACATTGACTAGGTTCAACACTTTAATATTTTCGAGCCAATTATATGTACATGGTCAGTTAACACGCAACTTAAATCCATTGAAAATTAGTTATATCATGGGCGAAAATGCTGGTTTTATAAAAAATATATATTATAAATTATGTATGCTAATATTAAGTTTTATATATTTGCATCAACTGCCCTTTCAAGTTTGCCATGAAACTAGTATGTGTGGGTAGAAACCATTGCATGACTACGTAATATTATCTTTCTTTGTGTGGGAAGCGCAATTTGGTTCCATATCATTCCAATTCGTATTGTGTGTATTTAGTACTTTATCGAAATATACATTTGTTTTAAAGTAAGAGGGCAATAAACTGTGACTTTCCTATTTTCTCCATCTCACTGCTACGGCTTTTATTACGCTAGTCCGATCCCTTTCTTTGCGAAGTGCGGATAGGTAATCCTCTATTAATACTGCTTTGCGGTTTCGCCGCACAACTTATTGGTTTCATATGACCTAATTGCGCCACTAACATTCCGCTGACGGACAATACATGTGCATTAGTAATAGCATAAGTTTGCACGATGGCGATTTCAATAAATTACAAGTAATTCGCCATTTCAGCATTCATTCATTATTTCTAGAAAGTTCATTTTATTGTTTGTTACATATTTTTACTTCGAAAAACTTAAGCTTGTATTTTTGTCAATTACAATGTCGTCTTAAACTTTCCTTCGATTTCTCACACATGCAATAATATTATAATTATTGAAATATAAATAATATATGTTAGGCATTGCTATTTATTCGCTTTGTTAACCAGATACAACTTTCACATTAACCGATTATATGTCTTGACGTATGAGATTGTAAATAAAGGCAACATATCGAGCGCATTGGGTGGCACGAGTGAGGTACGAACGGTATAGTATGAGGTATGAAGCAAGTTGTCTGCAACTGCAGTGGATGCAATAGGCGACAATGAGTAACGCCGCTGGGCGAATTTCGCAAGCGGCCGGTTATTGCGATTCGAGTCAAGGAGAGCACAGATCAATATTTATAGATCGGTTACTGACTCTAGATTGACTGACCCCGTTCTACGGATATCGAAGAAGATTTATCTCGTGTGTCGGACAAGTTTTATTTCATTATTTACTCCGATGCAATGAAGACGGTAATAAAGTAGCGCGCTAGATTATTTTTGTCTTTATTGAAAACGTTTTACTTGAAATTTATCTTTTTTTTTAGAAAGTTTATATTAATTGAACTCATACATTACATTACATATTTTGAATTGGAATCAATTTCAATTCGGGGCGTGTATTTAGTGTATGCGATAAATTTGAAATGCAATTTTTCGAATACTCATATCAATAATATATTAAACATTATGACTGTAATACTCAAATATGAGAACCTGATACATAATATTTAATCTTTCTCGTCCAACATTAATATTATCAGATGTTAGGTAACGGAATTCTCAAGCGTGCAATGCTGCATTGTCATTACGCTTTCGCCGCATCTATGTTCAACGTGACACGGAGCATCAGCTGTTGTGCCTGAGAAAATTAATTGCCGCTCGAGACACGATTTGAAAAGAAAACATTTCTGTTGCTAGTCGCTATCCATCTTATTATAAAGGAATGTTGGAACTGCACATACATATAGATATACATTAATTGGCAGATATTGGCGTATATATTTCTTATAAATAAATCTATACGTATAATAAAATTGTAACTAAGCCGAATTTGTACATTAAATATTTTTTGGAAAATCTTATTAAAATAGACATTATTATCGATATAGAGTCCGCATCTATAGTTTTTAGAATTTTTGTCAGTCTGTCCGTTACCGCGTCACGAGAAAACCACTGGACAGATTTTGATGATAGCTGCTTATCCGGGTCAACATATAGGATACTTTTTACCGCGGGAAAATATCTAATTTCTGAGAAAAAATACAAAAACTGCATTGTAGGATATAATCATATAATAATATGTAAAACCTAAGAATTTGGTTTTTGGTCATCTGAACGAGGGCGAAGCCGCGGGCAATGCTAGTTTGATTTTATTTATTAAACTACGCGATGCTAATTTGTTTTTATCACGCATATGTAACTTTTATGACGAAAACACAGAAAAATAATTTGCGAATTTCTGTGTACAATTATAGTCAAGGGAGAAATAGGTATAAAGAATTTTATGCGGCAATACAAAAAATAGTTAGAATTGAATGTGTGTTTACTTTTTAGCCAAAATGTTAAGTATATTATTGCTATTATTACACAAATATATAATATGATTTATTTAAAAATTAAATGTACCAATAAATAATATTTATAAGCGACTTATAAGTGCGGCCTTAATTTACCACGCACATTATTTACAAAAACTTGCTTATTCATATGTAAGTCATGGATATGCTGTATCGACACACGTGTGAGCCATTGCATAACAAGGTAGCTCGAATAATAACAAGTACAATTTCGTTACAATTACGCAGTAACTATTATTTTTAAGGGAATTTTGAATGTCATTGTTTTATAAGTAACAAACCTGAAAAAAATACATGAAACAAAGCGTAATAGAAAAAACATATATTTAATATTTATGTATGTATGCCTTGTAAAATTTTATATGTTTATCTAACTTTTTGGCTAATAAACTAATATCACTAGCGACTCACCCTCGCTTCGCTGGGGTTCGTCCCTAGTTACGTTTTATCGTTTAGTATATATTTCTTAGAGATGAAATATTTTCCCGTAGTACTTAAAAAGTATCCTATATGTTGGCCCGGATAACAAGTTATCATCATACCAAATTTCATCAAAATCCCTCCAGTGGTTTTTCCGTGATGCGGTCATAGACAGACAGATAGACAGACAGATAAAAATCTAAAAACTATAGATTTGGCCCTTGTATCGATAATAAAGTCAATTTCTATAAGATTTTCCAAAAAATATTTTATGTACAAATTTGACTTAGAATTTTATTATATTATGTATAGAATAGCATTTCCCGCGGCTCCGCCCGCGTTCAGGTGACCAAAAACCAAATTCTTAGGTTTTACATATTAGTATACTGTTACAATGCAGTTTTTGTATTTTTTCTCAGAAATGAGATATTTTCCCGCTGTAAAAAGCACCCTATATGTTGACCCGGATGACCAGCTATCGTCATACCAAATTTCATCAAAATCTGTCGAGTGGTTTTCTCGTGATGGGGTAACAGAAGACAGACAAAAATTCTAAGAACTATAGATTCGAACTCTGTATCGATAATAATGTCTATATCAATTAGATTTTGCAAAAAATATTTAATGTACAGATTCGACTTAGTTACAATTTTATTATAATATGTATAGGTTATATCTGCGTATGCGTGAAAGTGATAAGGTAACATAGTTCAGTAACTTTTATTTACGGTTCTATGTGGACATTTCTTACTAGTTAAACATGAACAACGCATCGTCTATATATTTATAATGTATATTGTTTTTATAAGACTAACCACAAGTACGCAGCTAGCAAACATACAAGCGGGCCAACTAAAGTGAGTCAAGGTGAGTCGACGTCACGATTACGCTGTTGCCACCCGGATTATTTTACGAATGGACACAAAATGACTGCAACACATAGTATATTGCATAATGGTCT